AGAGAGAGAGAGAGAGAGAGAGAGAGAGAGAGAGAGAGAGAAGGTCAAAGCTTCAGGAAATCAAAGAAGCAGACAATCTGCCTAAACCATTTTTACTTGGAGTGACACAGAGGCACGACCATCCAGCCTTACTAAAGCAGCAGCTAGGTCTCACTTAGAAGCAGTCCCAACTGACAAAAGAGGGAATAAAAATTTACAAAAACAATCAATTTGACACTCTTTATATCAAAATGTATAAGAGGATGCCATTATACATCCAGCAACCATGGGTATTTGAAATATGGTCTCATTTACAAACATTATGTTTATACTTTATTATTTCATGAACCATTGATTCCATAAAGCAAATCCACTTTCCTCCTCATTCCTTCTTTAATATTGTTTTAGATTTCCAAAAAACTGACCAATGAAGAGTAGCAGGAGAGTTGAGTGGTACTAGCCAGGAAGTGGACCAGAAGGTAACAGATGTAGTCCTCTTCTCTTCTGGAGTCTCAGTTTCCCCATCTGTAAAATAAGAGAGCTAGGTGATAAGAATTCCTTCCAAGTCTACGTTTCTCTTAAGACCAAGCAAGTAATAAAAGTAATGAAAGGGATTAGGTGCAGTATAATCTCCCCTACTTGACAGGCATTGAGTAAGAAAGGTACTAGAAGTAAGGAGATGAGTAAACCACAGTCCTTGTCCTAGTGAAGAACTTGGCTCGTGAGGGAAGCAAACACATAGACAATGCATTAGTGAACTTTCCATTATTGTGACAAAACACCTGGGATAATGAACTCAGATAGAAGAAATATTTATTTTTGCTTCATGGTTTTAAAGGTTCACTCCACAGCCAATTGGCCTTGAAGCAATTGTTGTTTGGGGGCCTGTGTTGATCCAGCACATCAGAGTAAGAAGTTCACAGTAGAACAAATCAGCTCCCTTATTGGCATGCAAGTGAAAAAGAGAAGAGGTGCTGGGCCCCACTACTTGCTTCAAAAGCATGAACCCAATACCCTGAAGGCCTCCGTTTAGGCCCCACTTCCTAAACTTTCACCACCTCCCAATAGCACTATGAGCAGGAGACCAAGCCTTTAACAATGGGCCTTTGGGGACAGTCCAGACCCAAACTATGAGAGACAGTTTCCTACAATATGACAGAACCTGTGCTCCAAGTACCATAGAAACCCATAAGAGGTTTGGATTAACTCCTCCTAGCTGAATCCTATGAATCCTGGAAACTTTTTCTTTGCTGTTTTTTTTGGGGGGAGGGGAGCAGATTTTTGCAGTACTGAAGATTGAACCTAGGAGCTCATGCATGCTAGGCAAGCACTGTACGCCTGAGCTGCATCTCCAGCCCTTTTTATTTTATTATAAGACGAGGTCTTGCTAAGTTGCCCAGGATAGCCTCAGACTTGTGACCCTTCTGCCTCAGCTTCCCAAGTAGCTGGGATGACAGCTATGCATCATTGTGCCCAACTCTGAAAGTTTTTAAAAGGAGAAGATATTCAAGTGACATCTTGGAAAACTTTTCTGAGTGGAGAAGGAAAAGAGAGGAGGAATGATGTTACAAGTAAAGGAAATTGCCCATGAAAAGGCACAGCAATTTGAAAACCATGATGCATTTGGGGGGAAAGAAAGAAGTTTCTTAAGGATGGAGGTCGCACACATGAAGGGATTATGGAAAGCAGTCTAGAAGGATGAGTTAAACCAAGTCACAAACGATCTTGCAGACCTGATCTTGAGAATAGCAAGAACCAATCACATATTTTTATCTCTCTTTTTTTGCTTAAATTCTTTTATTGGTACATTTTATGTATACAATACATTTATATTTATCATTGGTGCTTGTACCTGTACATGATGTATCTTGGTTCTTATTTTTCCCCCATGACCTGTGGCTAGAGAACTAGTGATATTTACATTTCAGAACACTCATTCTGTCTGAGGTGCGGAAAATGGATTAGAATTACACCATCCGATCTGGTAGCCTCATTAGTTGTGCGTGGCTCTTGCTCACTTGAAATATGGTTGGTCTAAATTGATGTGTGCTATGAGTATAAGGAACACGTGAGACCAAACCCTGAGTAGAAAAAAGGGAAGGCAGAATATCTCACTGTTATTTCATATTGATTACATGCTTAAAGGATAATGTTTGAGATAGTTAAATACAATATATATCAAAAATTACTTTTTTGGTTTCTTTTTACTTTTAATATATGGCCAGTAGAGAATTCTGAGTTACACATGTGGCTCACATTAAAATCCTACTGGACGGAACTGAGTGAGAGGAGCTGACTGGAGGAGACTTTGAAATGTTCAGGAGACATCGTGAGAGGATCAGGGTCTGAACTAGGCAGTGAAGTGATGGCAGAGTAAGAGAAGAGATGCAGCCTTTGTTGTCAGCTGCAGTGACAGAGAAGCTAAGAAGCAGACAGTCTGGTTCGCACTCTGGCTCTTACAATTACCAGCTGTACGACCTTGGGCAAGTCATTGGACCTGTCTGTTGTGCCTGAGTTTCTTCAGCTGCACCATGGATGATAGCAGCACCGGCTTCGTAGACTTGCTGTGAGGATTACATGAGTTTAATCACGGGTTCCCATACTGAATGCACATTTGAACCACCCGGGACGTTTTTAAAATAGCCAATACCCAGAGATTCTGGTTTCATCAGTGCAGGGTGTGGCCTGAGTGTCAAGATTTGTAGATGACCCAGGTGATTCTACTGTGATGCAAACCCTTGAGTTACTAAACGTAGAGTGCTCACAACAATGTCCGACATAGTGTAACCATGACATGTTTGCTGTTGCCATACTTTTAACGTCTTGAGTGATTCAAAATATACTTAAAATGCACAATCAAGGGCCTACTATGTGCTATTAAATCCTACCACAGGGATGGGACATCTTCCAAATTAACTCATGGAGCTCACGGTGAATTCACAGTGTCCTCCCCAGTGAGTACAGGTGGGCCAGCTGGAAATTGAGTTCAGATCTGACAGCTCATTGAGCAGTTCCAACTTTTTAAAGCATCAGTTGATCAAATAATCTAGTCTATTTCCCAAAACACTTAACTCCAACAACAAGGTTTTTAGTGTTTGGCAACGCACAAGCAGAATGCAATTAAGACTTGGAGCTGTACACTAAGTGTCTACCAGCCAGAGCCAAGTGAGCATAGAGTGAGGTGAGGTGCCATTTGGAATGTGGAGCAAGCCCACCTGTGTCTCTGGCCCCCGTGGTGGGGACACCCCAGTGAGAACTGACTAAAACTGGTGAGGGAACTTCAGAACTCAGACTGTCACCAACAAAGCAGGCAAGGCTGGGCCTAATGAGTACATAGAGCAGAAAGGTACTAATGTCATGATAAATGGCCTTTCTCTCCAGAATAGAGATGAAGAAGAACCCAACTCATTTCTTTTCTTATTCTCTAGACTTAGGTTTTCATGCACATTGTCTCCAGGTACTATGGACACAGATTCAAGTAGACATTGCAGCTGAGATATTGCTTCACTCTGAATTAGAATGGCTATTATCAAATCAATATTAACAAAGGCAGGCAAGAATGTGGAGAAAAAGGAGTCGTCAAACACTGGTGGAAGGAATGTAAAATTAGTACAGCTGTTATGGAAAACAGTATGGAAGTTCCTCAAAAAATTAAAAGTAGAATTACCCCATAACTCTCTGATCTTGTTACTAGCTGTATACTCAAAGGAAGTGAAATCTGTATGTCAAGGACACATCTGCACTTGTATATTTATTGCATTATTTATAATAGCCCAGATATGAAGTCAACTTATATCCATCGAAAGATTAATAACTTAAGAAAATGTGGTATATATAAATGGTGAAATATACTCAACTATAAAAAAGGATGGGTATGCCAACATGAATGAAAAACATGTTAAGTGAAACAAGTGATACACAGAAGGACAAATACATGATCTCAGTCATTGGTGAATTCTAAAAAAAAAAAAGCTGACCTTTAAGAAGTATGCGGTAGCATAGTGATTACTAAAAGCTGGGAAGAAAAAGGAGGAAAAATGGGGAAAGATTTGTCACTGGATACAAATTTACAGTTAGCTAAGAGGAATACGTTCTTTTGTTCTACTTCACAGTAGGGTGACTATAATTGATCATGTAATATGTATATTTCAAAATAACTAGAAGGAAGGATTTTGAATGTTCTCACATAAAGAAATAATAAATGTTTGAGGTGATGGATATGCTATAACACCCTGATTTGATTATTACAAATTGTGTGTATGTATTCAAACATCACATTGTGCTCTACAAATATGTGTAATTAATGCATATCAATTAAAACAAAATAAAATATAAAATATTTTAAAATATTAATCATTGTTAACATTTACTGGGCCTTTATTGTAAGTGCCTTATATGCATTGCATTTTCTAATATCCTTCATAACTTTATGAGGAAGGGGGCATTACCAACACTTTATAATAAGGAAATTGAAGCTCAGAGAAGTGCAGTCTTTTGGTGTCAGCAACAAGAGTCCCAATTCAAACTAACTTAGACTAGAGAGGAATTTGTTATCTCAAGGAAAACAATAAAAAGTTGAAACATCAAGCTACCAATAATCAAAGATGCATATGGATCTTTGATACAACTGACATCAGTGGCTCTTTCTCTCTATCCTCTTATTTGTCTCTGTGCATCAGCCACATCCTACTCTGCTGCATGGCAATTTCTTGCACAGATGACAGGGAAGCTTCTGGACTCCCCAGGCTCCTTGCTGTTCTGGTTTCAAAAATCCCAAGAAAAAGTTCTGATTGGCCCAATTTGAGTCAAGTTCTGCCTTGGACCAATCAGGAGTAACCAAGAGAGAAAGATCACTACAAGCATGGCAGCTCACTCAAATCATGTGGATTGGAGTCACAGAAAGGAAAAGCAAATGATTTCCTGAAAGACTCCTGACACATTGTGATCATTAATTGTGATTGACAATGGATTAAGAGAGGCCTCATAGTAAAGAATGCTTCTTTGTAGTCAGAGTAGGTTATGGGGCATGGCCTTCTGGACTATACCTGGTCCCTGGCCCCTGGCCCCTGCCTCTCTGGCACTGTTGCTCTGCTTTGCTTCCTTACCACCATGAAGTCCGTAGCTTTGCTTCACCACACCCTTCTCCCTTAATGTCCCTGCCTTAGAACCAGTGGCTCATGTACTGAAACCTCTAAAATCGTGAGCCAACTAAACCATTTCCTCCTTTAAGTTGTGAGCATCAGATATTTGGTCCCAGCAATGGGAAAGCTAATGACTATAGAAAACTGATGCCAGAGAATTAGTGCTATTGCTGTGACTACACCTGACCATCATATCAGAACCTTTGGAACTACTTTGGGGAGGAGTTTGGAATGATTTGGATGCTCAGGCTTGAGATGCACGCTATAAGCAGAGGCTGGCAGGCAATTCTGATCAGAGCTCAGAAGATTAGAATGCTGATAAAAATGTTGACAGTAAAAAACAGGCTCATGAAGTTTTAGTTGAGAATGAGGGCTCTTTTGGGA